CAGCTGCGCAGCCTCACTGCACCCTCAGTGGCACCGCGCGCTAGGATTTCCGTCGTGAATATCCAGTTGACATGCGATTCTGGAGGGTCTCTTTACGTCATGTCTTTATATGTGCTGCTGTCGTAGAAATTTCAATGAGTGACCAGGACTAGCGACGTCTCACTTTCCTCCTCTCCCCTCTGGCAGTCCGGAGATGGTGCTCCAACTGCGGGGAGACATCCTCATCAGTGCTACCACTGCGAGTCGGCCACCACGCGCCAGGTCGTGTTCCGCGTGCAGTTCCACACGTGCGCCGTCTCTGACCCGGTGCTCAGCTTCCCGCGGCAAGACCTGGACGACGCCTGCGACGGTACGTGGCGCCGCTCAGCGGCTGTTGGCGGAACTACAGAGTGGTAGTTTGGTCGGCCTCGTGATCGGGCGCCTCAGAGCGGGTCATCATCATTATCGCCCAGCTGAGTGAAGTCGAAGTGGAGGCTCTGGGCCGTTCGAGTTTTTTCTATTTCGGCTACGAATCTGGGACAGCAGCCTTGATTGCGCGCCGACGCAGCTTGTGAAGAGAGGTTTAATATTGAGACTGAGTGCACCGTGAAAGAGCTCGCAAGCTTTAAGTCAAGTCAATTTATCAAGGAATCATGCCATCACTTGGCTGCCTCAGTAGCGTTTGATCCCAGTCCCATTGCATGGCACAAAGGTAAGATAAGCGCTACAAGAAAGACACAAACACTGACGAGACCGGTAGCGACGGCTCATGAAAGTGAAAACACACCGTTGATAGTCTTACTCAGCACGATCAGGCTTGCTGATACATTGATGCCTTCTTCGAGAGGCAGTGATGGATAGCAGCAGCAGTACAGGGTAAGGCTGCGCAGAAAGGGACGTTTGCTGGTCTCACTCACACGATCAGGTTTGCTAATACATTTATTCATCGTTCGAGATGCCGTGATGGGTGGCAGCAGGCAGGTTCAGAAAGAGGCTGCACAAACAGGAAATATGTGCAACCAACGCTTTGGGGAAGTTTCAGGGGTTTCCATTACCTTCTGTTTGTCGTTGCTATTTCGGTCATTCTGGTAATCTCCTCCCTGTTCGGCCGCAGGTGCGCCGTGTGTTGTAAATGTCAATGACAAAAATTTATGTTGGTCATCACAGCTCCAACCTTTCTAATCCACCGTTAACGTGGCCCTTGGTAGCCCCTGCCTCGTATCACTGTCACCACGAGCCCCGTCGCACCGGGTATTTCCCCTACCATTTTTGAGCCGGCCGGGCTGCCGCCGGGCAATCCCCGTCAGCGGCCGGCCCTGGGCCCGGCCCGCTGGTCCCGCCTGTTCGCACCGACAGCGTCCGTCCCCCGGTGCCTTCCGCGGCCGTGGTCGGCTGGAGGCAGACCGCGCCGACAGCGTCCGTCCCTCCTGTGCCGTCTGCGGCCGTGTGTCGGCTGAGGCAGACCGCGCCGACAGTGTCCGTCCCTCCTGTGCCGTCCGCGGCCGTGTGTCCGGCTGGCGGCAGACGGCGCCCGCGGTGCCGGAGGCCGGGCAATGGGAGGCCGGTCACGAGCAGTGCCCGGCTGGCGGAGGCGTTCCGCCGTTGCGGTCGCATGGGCCGGCTGCTGGAATGCCGCTTTGTTGCGGTTCGAGAGCCTACCGTCTTCTGGTGGCACGCTGTCCCACAGGCTGTGTATCCGACCCGTGAATGACTGCTTGCGATGTCCTGCTCCGCCGGCCTTCTCTACTGCGAAGCTCCGTTATGTTCATCCGTGCTCCGTTGCTGCGAATCTCTGATCTGTTTGGTTGTGCTCTGTTACTGTGTGACCCCGTTCTGTTCAGCTGTGCCCCGTTCCCATGATGTCCTTTGTGGTGACGGCGGCTGCCGCTGACTCACGGTCCATCCTGCCCCGGACGCCGGACGCCGGACGGCTGCGGGTGCAGCCCGTGCGTCCGGTAGAACAGCGCCGCTCCCACCCGACGAGCGCGTCCGCGCCAGCCGGGCGCCCCGACATTGGCCGTGGGCGCGGCCCGTGACGGTCGCAGGTCGTGCACGGCCGGCTCGTGAGTTCCGTCAGCCGGCCATGGACGGCTTCCGCCGCTGAGCGGCGGGCGGATGCCCAGCCGGGGACTCGTCGGCCGGCGGCCTGCAACGCTTCCGGCCGCGGTGCGGCGGGCCGTGCTCGCCGTGCTCGCCGGGGGTGTCGTGTCACGCCCCGCTGCCGCCCCGCGTCCGCGTCCGTCGGCCCTGACGAGCGCCGCCGCTGACCCTCGTGGACCCGCCGCCGCAGACATGCGCTTCCGAGGACGGCGGCGTCGAGCTGCACTTCTCGCGTCGAGCCTGTTGCCAGGACCAGGCGGCGGCGCCGCTCCGCGTCGACCGCGCGCCCCGACCCCGTCAACGCTGGAACAGCTACGAGGCCTTCTACGCCGGCGGCGCTCGACCAGACAGGTGCGGTGGCGGCGTCCACGCCGACGCAGCCGGCGATCACACGGGGAGAGCGTGGGGGTGGGGTGGGGCGACACTCGAGACATGCAGGCCGCGCCCGGAAGGGCGTGCAGCGGAGTCGGCCGTCCACTCGGGAGAAGTGGGTGTGTGCAGCGACATTTGAAGCATACATTTGCATATGTTAATCCATTTCGGCTGCTGCGGAAGCTTTTGTGTGTATGTGATATGTGGCTTCATTAAAACCGACATTAGCATGCAATAAGAATGTATATATATATATATATATATATATATATATATATATATATATAATATTATATATCGCGGACTAGGATTTGTGACGCGTAGACCTGGGCACATCGGTCGGGGACCCCACTCTGACGCGGCGTGTGCCGACCGAGGCGCCCAGAGACGAGGTCCGAGTCAGACAGACGCGTGGCTCCCGGCGCGCATCCGAAGGTCGGCTCCAGCGGCGGGTCAGGCCGGCCTGTGACACGCCACAGCGTCGGCGGACGCGGGTCCTCCATCCAGGTCAATGCCGCTCGCGCGGGATTTCTCAGATGACTGGAGCGTAGCAGCTGGATGGCGATAATGTGGCGTATTTCGAGGTAGAAGGTGGTGACGCATTCTGGCAGATTGCACCGGTGTGATGGCTCTTTCTGTCCCAGTTATAAAAACCATTCGGCAAGTCCTTGTTCGAGGTCCCGCCTGGCCGTTGTGGAAGCCGTCCGGAGCACAGTGTCCCAGTCGGGTCTCTCATGGCTGGCTACACTCCCTCGCAGCGATGGCCGCGGAGGGCCGCGATGCAAGGCTTTCCTGAACGGCCGACCGCTCTGGGGCTCGGCATGGCCAGGCTCGACTGACATTTGCGAGCGCCGCGTCTCATCATTGTCACGACTTATGGGACATATGCGCACATTTGTCTCATAACTGTCAGGATCGAAGGGCGGCCACATATATGACGGGGGTCCCCTTTTATGGCGTGAAGATAGTCCGAAACTCTATGATGATATGTCATTGCTGCACGACGTACGCACATTCAATTCAGGTTTGTCCTGATCGTCGGAGCGATACTTTTCGCCGTACATCAATGCGTACCGTTGTTCGCATGTCCGATTGAAGGTTTAGCATCTGCTTTTTAAGCGCGCTCGCATGGAGGGACAAGCGCCACTCGCCGTAACCGCCGCTGCTGTCATTTGTGATCGCTGGCTGTCATCACCATCGCAACTGGCGGCCGTCGGACAGTCTCCCCCGGAGCAGCGCTGCCGTATGCAGCGGAGCCGGCGCAGTCTGCGGTGACGGCGGCCGCTGCCATGCAACTGACAGCCCCACAGCCCTGGTCAGGGACGGTAGCTGGAGTCCACCCAGCACCCTAGCAGACCCCCGGGCACGACTGGACGGGGCGGGGCGGGGCGCGCCGGGGCGCCTCGGGGCGCAGCCGTCTGCCGCGATGGCTCACCGACGCCGGCCACGGTAGTCAGGTCGAGCCCGCTGTAGCTGAACAGATGTGCCGCATGCAGTCGTTTGTCCGAGGGGCGAGCGATTTGTGTGAAAGGTTTTGGCGCTGTAGCGTCCCACGATTTGCGATTGCGGAGCGAAGCGGCTGTGGAGCGAGTTGACGCAATTTGCTAGATTATTGTTTGCGTACTTTCTTGACGTCACGGACGTGCGGCGCAGTCGCAGTTCTTGCTATTGATTTGTGCACGTTATGCGCGCGAAAACCCACGCTACGTATGCGTATCTCAAGAGCTGCGCAGGGGCCTACCGCGGTCTTTGAAAATAGGCTTTAATGTCCGATGAGGTCACGCCGGCGTCGTCCTCTGGCGCCGGTCGGCCTGTGTATCACAACGGGCCCTACGTCTGGCAGCCTGGCGTGCAATCAACGGCGTCACGCTTCTTTTGCGCGTGAGCTAGTCGCTTAACCAACCATTAACCTTTAGTGGCGCCGTCAGCGGTGCTTAGGGCTTATATCGCATGCTAATTGTATTGTACTTAAGGTGCATTAATGCCTGCAATTAAAGTGGAAAACTGCTGGCTCCCGCTCCACTTTTAAAATCAAATAAATGACCGCGGAAAGACGCACGTATTCCAGCATTGCGCTTTGCCATGAGCAAGAATCTAGCCTGAATGCCGCTGATTGAGCGCAGGCGGTGAAAGAACCCGTCGACCGAGCTGCTGGCTTTGTTTAGTATCTTAAGGTCATTAGCCAACTGCCTGGCGTGCGTGCCTGTCTTTCTCGGGCGCTTATCACCAGTGCTTTCTCACCATTCAATGAGCCCCCACCTATCACGATTTCGTCAGCGGCGTTCGCGTCATCACGAACTCTCGTTATCCATTCACGCCCGGTGCCCGGGGACTGTCACGTCCCGCCACTCAGTGCTCTATAATGCCATGCAAGATGACCACTTACTGGTCGGCCTCGCCTGAAGGTCGCACGGGAAGGCTTGCCCATTTGCTGCGCTGGTTCGGAGTG